GCTTTTCACAAAGGGGGTTATCACCTATGGTAAGAGTGTGTGAGTGCTTTTCACATACAGTATAGGTCCATGGCATTGGACCATGGACACAGAGGTAGTGCACTATTAGCAAACATTACGGGAAATAAATTAGCATGTAATTTTATGATTTTATTAAATGATATTTTGTGGGTCTAAAAGTACAACGGCTGTAATTGTCATTTAAAGTGTTTTGAGCGCTGGGATTAGCCTGAATTTATGCAAAGAAATTACAAATCTAAAGTAGTTTATGTGGAGAATGCGCCACATCACTGTTAAAACTCAATTGTTTAAGCGAAGAAATATTATGAACATTGGGAAAAATATGCTACTTATTCTTTGCCTTTAAACAATCTGGATTCACCAATAGAGGTGCCATTGTTCCGCAACTCAAGATTTCAAGTAGGGGCTCAGGCAAAATGGAGCTGGACCCCCCATATTTCATTTCTCCCTCGCTGATAGCATTTATCAGCAGTGTCCTGATAAAAACAAAATATGCAACTTAAGCCCGAGCAGGGCTAAGCCGCCGAGGTGGACAGGATTACCTGGGGGCTAGCCGGGACAGGCATCAGATTGTACTGTCACAAAGGGCCATTAGCCTCTTGGCAAACTGTACCTCAAGCCCAAGATGACAGAGCTTTTCAAGACGGACAGGGAGGAAAATATGAAACTTAAATTCGTCCTGACAGACGTCTCAATGAGTGAGAGCCCTGGAAAAAATTTATTTGTAAAGCAAAACAAACAGAGATTCTTTTTTTATTCATCTCATACGTACATGATTTAAAATGTCTTCATGAAATACTCAATATCCAGTGTTCTCCTCTGGATTTAAGGAGTTGTATGAAAAGAGAGGCCAGGTTTCCACACAACACACAATGGAGTAGACTTACTGACTGGCTGGGATTAAATTTAATACAGGATCTTGACAGACATATCCTGGAAGCATATCACTCTCTCTGCAGATTCTCTAGGAGCAAAGCTTACATGTTTTTCTTGGATTTGCCTCATTAATTGTCTAGTTAAACCCCCCTAATCCACGATGATCACTTTCTTGTTACGTCTTAAGGCATTTTCTTTGAGCTCATATATCTTGATGCCTTCTTCTCTTGGTACTTCACAGCTCGTAGGACAAAATTAAACGCAAACCGAAAGCTAAGGTTTGAATTGAAGGCTGGGGGGGGGGGTTAGACAAAGTGACCACAGGTATAACGAGTATATACGGCTAGACGACACAGCAGAGCCAGCTGTCTCTCACTGTCACTTTCTCTGACATGTGGAAGGAGAGGTCTAGTCTGTTATCTTTGGGAGGTGATCTGTATTTGGTGTGACACACACACACACACACACACACACACACACACACACACACACACA